TTACACCGATCGATATATTCCTCTACGGAATAAAAACAATGTGTCAACATAAATGTTTTTAATTTTTTCTTAAATGAATTGAACTCCAGCAGCCCAAACTCGGATGGCAATACATTATAAAGACCAAGGTCGAGGGAATTGTTTTTTGATTTATTTAGACGATATCTATTTATTCTTAAGTTGTTAGCTTGTCTGGTAGGATATTTGTGAATGTCGGACTGCCTAGAAAGACATGATAATTTCTTATGAATTTCCAAAAGGACACTAAATATATAAATCGTTGGTAGAGGCATTATTCCTTGCTGAATAAACAAGGGCTGACAATGTTCTCTAAATTTGGAACCAGTTATGATTCTAACAGCCTTCTTCTGCAGCCGAAAAATCAAAATTGCATCTGAACTGTTACCCCAAAGTGCAGTGGCATAATTTATGTGGGAATGGAATAGGGAAAAGTAAATCGTTCTTAATATGTTACGATCTGTTATAGTTTTAAGCTGCCTCAACAGATATAAGGTACTGCATAATTTAGGTTTTAATTTATTTATATGAATTCTCCAAGTTAAATTACTATCTAACATAACTCCAAGTAACTTAGCACTATTGCAATTTTGAGAATCGGTAACCGAAGAAAACTGCAATTCCTGAGATTTACTTTGATTTAACATGAGATTGTTAGCTAAGAACCAATGTTCAGCTTTAGCGATAATAGTTTCTGCAGTATTTTTCAATTCAATTTCATTTTTTGCAGAGTACACAAAAGTGGTATCGTCTGCAAATAGAACAGATTTAAAAGGACCCATATAATTACTTAAATCGTTGGTATATATAATAAATAATAATGGTCCTAAGACAGAGCCCTGTGGAACTCCATGCTTAACCGAACTAAATTTTGACCTTTGGTTCTGAAATGTGACAGCCTGAAAGCGTCCAGATAAATAAGATTCTAAAAGTTTTAACGCACTTCCTCGGACGCCGTAGTAATTTAACTTCTCAATCAAGATGTCATGAGAAATGCAGTCGAAAGCTTTCGACAGGTCGCAAAGAGTAACTGCTGTGTGACTACCTTGCTCAAGGCCAGACACCACTCCATGAACAACATCTATTACAGCTTGAACCGTTGATTTGTTGGTTCGAAAACCATATTGAGTGACACTAAAGTAGTTTTTTGACTCAAAATAACTATAAAGACGTGATTTAATGATTTTTTCAACGATCTTGCTAAATACAGATAAAATTGAAATTGGACGATAGTTGTCCACGATATTCTTATCGCCTTTTTTATGTAATGGTATAACTTTCGAATATTTAAAACAATCTGGAAAGACTCCAGTACTAAATATAACATTTATCAGATTGGTCAAAGGATCTAACAACAAATCAGTAGTTTGTTTTATAATTTTAACGTTTAGTTCATGAACGTCAAGAGAATTAGAGTTTTTTAAGCATTTTATTGTATTCAAAACTTCATTTTGTGTGACCGGATTTAAAAAAAATGATCCAACTGGTGCAGGAAAGTTTTTAAAAGATAAAAGGCTTTTATTAGGTACTTTTGGAAGCGATTTAATTATTTCAAGAGAAATATTTGTAAAAAAATCATTAAATGCGTCAGGATTAAGATTAATATTACTGTTCTTAGAGACAACTCTGTTTCCTTCGTAATTAATTATTCGCCAGCAGGCCTTCGACTTATTGCTAGATGTTGTTATGTAATTACTATAAGCAGTTTTTTTGGTATTTTTCAGTGTAAGATAATATTGATTTCTAAATTGTTTATAAGTGTTTGAATCACTCGACTGTTTGCTTACTTCTGCTTTAACTTTAAGAGCTGATAGAGTATTTCTCATAGATTTTATATTTTCATTGAACCAAACTACCGGTGATTTTTTTGCTTGTTCTACGCATTTTTTAAGTGGGCAAAATTTGACAACCAAATCACTATAGGTTTTTATTAAAAAATTTGCAAGATAATCTGCATCATAAATTGTTTCAAAGATAACCCAGTCAATAGAGTTTAGGGAATATCTGATTTTATCAATTGATTTTTTTGAGAAAATCCTGTTGTAAAAAATTTGTCGTTGATTTTCAATATTGTTTTTCACAGTTATAAATTGGCCTCGATGGTCTGAAATACATGGTTCAAAAACACCCGATTTTATTGAAGAATCGTCTAAGTTTGTAATTATGTTATCTAAACATGAGGAAGATGTAGCCGTGACTCTAGTATATTCATTAATCGCAGTTTTTAAACCAAAAGACATTAAAATAGAATTGAGCTCGGTATTACCTCTCGAAGTAACTTTAAAATCAATATTAAAATCACCCAAGATAATAATATTTCGTTCAAGTGTTACAATTATATCTAATAACTTTTCAAAATTTTCAAAAAATAAATCAATATTTCCTTTACCCGATCTATAGACAACCACTATAAGCAATTTCAACTCGGGAAGTTCTAATGCGCAAAATTCACTTGATTGTTCGAAGTTAAATTTTGTTACGTCCAAAACGCTTATTTTTATATGTTTTTTTAGAAATATAGCTACGCCGCCACGCAATTTCTCACTTCTACAAAATGAAGTAGCACATATATAACCATCCAAGTTCACGCTACCAAGATTAATCTCATTTAACCAATGTTCCGAGATGCAAAGAACATCAAAATTAAATTCGTTTAAGAATACATCGAGCATTTCCACTTTGTTAGACAAACACTGCACGTTTAAATGAAATATAATCACCGATCTTTTACATTGCAAAATACTATGTAGATGAAATTTATCAAATATGTCATTCTTCTTTGTTGATGTGAAATCTAGATATTTACAGTCACTTGTGTGTCTTTCTGAAAATTCTGTCTAAATTGAAATCTTCTAACTTCTGCTCGTTTGGGCCAAATAGCTGGATCGTAAATCTGGTTTATTTTGTCCATCGGAAACGAAACTTTATATGTGGACACCCTATTATTTCTGTGCCATTCTTCACATGAAAAGTTAATGTCTGGGGCACTTTTCTTTAAAAAATTTAAAACGTCATCACTTTTTATCTCATTTCCAATTCTTGATAGATGTAAAAATCCTTGTCTCGGTACTATTTTAAATAAGCCTCCAGCTTCAATACAGGTGGGCTTTGAAACCCACCCTAATTAAGAAACACATTTATGTACATTCCAAAAATCTCCATATCGAGGAATATCTAAAACAAAACAAAAATAAAGGTGCAGTGTGTATCTTAAAATTAAAAATTAACAGGAGATTAACTTTTTTAAATTATTACATTTTTCTTGCAATAAAAGGTATAAAAATTTCAATAAAAATAGAAAACATCTGATTTATGATCTTAATATGCAAAAATTAACAAGTAGACCTAAATAGCATAGATATGTTTTTGAACATATTTGGGTATTATTTGATAAATATAATAATGAATATCACCCAAAAATTGAACAATAACTTTTTGAGCACAAATCATTCGCCTTTTTTCATCATGGTCTTTATGAGTAAAACCATTGTATAAAGAACTAAAGTTCTTTATACAATGGTAAAACTAGGATGAGGTTCTATCTCCGGTTCTACAATATTTGTTTGTAAATTGGCTTCACACATTTCGCTCACAACCTTTCATTTTTTTGACCACAAATGTTTAAAATGTGGATCCATTTATCTCTAGAGTACCTAATAATAGCAGGAAAAACATAAAATTTATTGTTAGTTTTGTGAGAAAAATACTTCTGCAATTAAAATTTAAATGAATCAGAAGTTAATGATTTTCTTAAGAACTTCCCTATAGTTAAATTAGTTAAATTTAACTTACACTTAATTAATACAATTTACTCACCTACTTTTGAAAAAAATATCACCTGCATTTGAAAATGAAAAATAATATCAGGCTGACATATTTATAGCAACATAACCTAATTTATTTTCAAAGCCAGATTTACACCATCTAATAATATTTAAATTTAGCTTTAACTTTAAATTTATTAACGATTATCCCTGTATTTGATCACATATTATATTAAAGTGAAATTTAAAGTGGATTTATTTGTCATTATTTTTGAAAACATATTTTTTTATGGGTGTAAAACGGGTTTGAATTTAGTTATATCAGCGCGCTAAGCGCTTACGGTTCAACTACCAACAAGGAAACAAGTCCCGCCATTTATTCAAACCTCTTTTTATTTTTTTATGGGACGTCCTAGTAGTGTTTTGTAAGCGCATATCACTTAATTTTTAGACCTGATGATGGCCTAAGGCCGAAACCGGTTGTCATTTAACTTAATAAAATTAATTTACATGGGATTGATTTTGCGAGTTATTGTCTTACTAATATACAGGGTGTTTCATTAAAAAAAACTTGAAGAGTGGTCATGGGGAGGAGACCGTGTAATTTACAACGAGTATACACGAGCAGAATTGTCCCTTTATATGATTTATATGATTTTCGACTTATTCTTGTATTTTTTCATAAAAGCCTCACCTTTAAAATTATTTAGAGTGGATAATTTTCATTGAAAATTCCTTTATAGGGCAAAGTGCTAATACAATGACATTGTACCCATTTTTTCATCTCTGATAAACGAATCGTTATTTCATTGGTGATATAAGATCACTGGAAAGTCATAAATGTTGCATAACAAAAAACTGGTTATTTAGCATATGTCAGAATTCAGTATAGGATTAAATTCAAAATTATTTTTTAAATGATTCATTTGTAAATTTTCCGATTTTTCTTGAGAACAAATAATACAAACCGGATCAAATTTTGGTAAAATAATACTTTCTTTTTTAAAAATTTTGAACGTGTAGATACTTTTTCCGGGGGTCCATATAAACCTTAATAAAATAAAAAGTGTATAGCGATAGTGGGGATATCGTAGTTGCCACATGTTCACTGTGAAAGCACGGCTATATTTAATACAAAATAATAAGCACTGTATAATATACCTATTTACTATAAAATTAATTTTTTCGAATTTTACAATTTTTTTTTTATTTTTCAAGATTCCAAATGAAGCAGCTAAAATTGATGAATTCAAAAAACCAAGGTATGTACTGATATGTATTTTATTTTATTAAAAAAATGATATTTATGACCCATTCTTTGAGTCATATTTTTTGTAATTTGTTGTTTTTTCTTCTCAGAATAATTAATTGTACTAGAAAAAATTACCTTAGGACCCTATTTAAAGTAGTTATTTCGATGTATGTTTAAAATTAACTACAAAATCTGTATTTCTACTTCTAAAAGCAAAAAACTTTTAACTGCTAAACACACTTGGTATAATGAAGCTAAATTTCTAGAATACCCCTGGCGCAAAATTGTTGCCATTTGCTGTGCAGGCTCCTAATTTTTTACCCATAATATTTTCATTGTCGGAATGGAAAATTGAAAAAATAACCAATGTCAAATCGGGCGAGTAATGAGACTGTTCAAAGATTTGAATTCTTAACGTAATGAAAAGTTTTAATGAGAAAAAATTTTCACAGCCTTCTGGCTTAGCTTACGTTGTAAAATAATTATGGGTCTGTAAGATTCGTTTAAAAAATTAAACTATCAAGTTTATGATATAATCCATACTTAAAAGGACCCTTAACGATATTTAATTTAAATGTAATTTTTTTTGAGCTTTTTTTATTCAATAGTTTCGAGAAATATTATTAAATATGAAGACAGTGAATTTGTTTCTGATATACGATAATAAATATACAATTAACAACTCGAATATATACAGTATGGTTCAAATGAAAGGAATAAATTCATTATAATGGAAGTAGTTGGTTTTTCGAAAAAAATGCTCGCACAGGTCAATTTTGTTTACTCAAAGCGCAATTTTTTAAATAAAATTCAATTTTCCCCCACTTCACATTTTTGGGCAGTGACGTCATTGACAATTTTTTTAAATAGTAACCCCAATTTTTTTTCTTGATTTTGACAGATCTTGCAATTTCCTACTCGGAAACATAATATTTGAAATATCTTACATAACAATTTTTTTTGAATAAAAGACATTTAAAGTTCAGACACATAAATTTTATTTTATTTTGAGAATACAATAAATGAATAAAAGATAATTATTTGTAATTAAGTGCTTAATCTTACAAAATAATTAATAATAATAATACTAATAATAATAAAAAAGAATTTGTGAAATGGGCCATGTTCACATGTGAGATATGCTGTTTTATAAACTATATTGTAATAGTTAGTCGCTATACAAGTTATTCTAAATAATCAGTTCGTTAAAAAAGCTAAAAGTTTTTAAATTAAGCCCAATTGAAATTTAAAATTTGAAATTATACGTCATCGGGAATAGACCAATCAGCTTGTGTCGAAGTTTTTTTTGTTTTACAAAACCAAGCCAACGAACAAACCTACATACAGAATGTCGAAGTGAACGCACATCTAAGTGACATTTAAAAATTGACAGCACCTAACAACTAACCTTAGTTTTTTGTTTTGGTTTAATTTTATTATTAATCTGCATTTATCTGGGTAAATTATCCTGTGGGATATAGGATATATAAAGGAAGAAGAATATGAATTTATCAGCTGTATTTATAAAAGTTGAATCAAGTATTTTTCCCATTGTAAACGAAAATATGATTACCGAGATGATTACTGCATTTTTTAACAATACTCAGTTTCCAAAAGATAGAAAGGTAAAACTTTATTTATAAATTGTTTTAATGGTAGGTAGTTACAGTTTATATGAAGCAGTACACTTTATAGTAAAACATATTTATCTCAGGTTTTATTTTTAGATCTGCCAAGCAAGAATATGGAGATATTTACTTTTTCCATAAGAGAGAAGGAGACAAATTACACCTAAACATAAAGTACAGCAAAAACCTTATGATGTGGCTGTTTTTTAGTGCACAATGCTTAGGATATGTTGAATCTCAAGGTTTGTAATATTTATTATGCTTTTTTGTTTTTATATCACATATAATAAACAGTGTATAAGGCCCTTTATTCTTATAAATATTTTTTTTCTAATTTTGACATAAAGAGACATTTTTTGTAATCGCAGCAAGTGTTAAAATAATCTAGAAATAGATTTTGTTAGTGAACCTAGTAATAATTATGATACCAAAGAATGCTGCAGAGCACCTATGAAATTTTGAGTCAAAACATGCCATATTTTTAGGCTATTTTTATACCCTTTTCAAAAATTTTATGCTCCTCGTTTTATGCAAAACTTAAAATGCTCTGATAGCTTCGAACGAAGTCAGCAAAGCACCTCTGTTTTATAAAGTTTTTTCTGTAAAAACAGCAACACCATATATTTATGCACTTGAAATATTATATTTTTAAAAAATACATGGTGCTTGCTAACCTTCGAAAGAAGCCAGCAGAGCAATTCGGTTTTTTAAAGCTTTTTTCTAAAAACCACACCCCATTTTTAGACTCTTGAAATATTGTAAAACTTTACTAAAAAAATTGCTATTTTTAAATAATACAGGGTGCTTTGTTGGAACAAAGTCAGCAGGACACTTCAGTTTTTTAATATATAAAAACAACTACTTATGACACATGTTTAGGCTGTTTTAAAATCCTAAAAATGTGGTAAGTATATTTGTTTTCAGAAAAAAAACTTTTAAGTCAGGGAATTGCGAATTTTTTTTAAAAATGTCAAATTTCGAATATTTTATAATATTGTAGGAGCCAAAAAATGTGGTGTGGTTTAAAAAAAAACTGGGGTGCTCTGCTGGATTCGTTTGAAGCTAACAAAGCATCCCGTAATTTTTTATTTTATAATACTCAATAGCCTAAAATGAGACATAGCTGTTTAAACAAAAATGGTACTTTAAAAAATAGCAGTTTTTTTCGAAAAGCTCTATAATATTTCAAAAATGTGAAAATGTGGTGAGCTTGTTTTTTTTAAGTTTTGAAAATCAGAGGTTCTTTACTGGATTCGTTCAGAGCTAGTAAAGTGCTCGTCTTGTTACATAAAATAAGGCATTTTGTAGCTGGTTATATAGTTATTTTGTAACTGCATATCTAACCCTTTTATTTTTTTCAGGAGGTTGTAAACATGTGGCTTCATAGAAGAAGTGAGGAACCATCTGTAACATCTACTCAGTGTTATTGATAATGATGTACACTTGGCTAGATTGTTAAAGAAACCTCTTCATCCACTACAGGAAAATATATCAGTACTTTTATATTCTTAGGATTTGTATATATTTTTTATTTGTAAATAAATTGTTTTTTTACTTCATTTTTCTCATTTTTTATTAAAAGGTTAATAAATAAAATTTTCACAGATTTTTATATTTTTGTTTGTAAACAATAATTGAAGTTTTTATTAAAAATCACCAATGTTAATAATAATAACTTAAGTCAATATTATTCTTTCTCCTTTTTTAAAGCTACTATTAATAAAGGTATTACTTTAGCTTGACCTATGATCAATTTTTAATTTTGTGATATATTTGGTTTGACAGAAAAAAAATTAAAACCCTTTGACATTGGTTGTTTTTACTTAGATTTTCATAAAAAATAAACGGAACTGCAAACATGTTTTACTATCGTAATAACGAATAGCAACATGAAATTTTTTTTTCACATTTATCACTGTTGTCATTTTCATAAGAAGGCACACTTTCTGGTTTTTTGAAAAAGGTGGCAAGAACTGTGATATTTTTAAATTTATCACCAGTGATACCACATGTAGTTACCCGATTTATTGGAATATATAGACTTTGCTACCACATTCAACTGAACTTGGTTTTTAATATTTATCACTGTGACATAGGCGTTTTTGTTAAAATGTTTCATTTTAAACTGCTGTAAATAGGTGCCTTTGTTTTGGTAGTTTCAGTCCCAAAAAAATCTATGCATATACAGGTACTCATTCCTCTTCAATTTGCTCGAAAAGTTAAATTTTTATCAAAAATTACATTGGCTGTTTAAAAACTCATTATAATCCCTGAAATGTGATAATTAGGTAAATTAAATTAAAAAACAAAAAAGTTTATTAAATTAATATTTACTCTTACAAAATAGGTTCTTGTAAGTTAACAAGCAATTATGCAGATATTACTAAGTAAATGTACTTGCTTAAAATTCACACACGAATGTGGTTTTAACATGTTAAATTAACTAACCCTTCTTATAACTCTTTCCACATGTATTCTTAGAGATGCTATTCTTTTACTTAATTGTACATCTTCTTGAGAAGTTTTTTCATTCTGTGATACACTAGGTGTGGCTTTACTAAAGTGTATCCCATGTTTTCAAGTAGCTGATTATTCTGAAACCCCTATCTGCCATTATATGGGATCCAGGAACCAGTTTGTTTAAATACCCACATTTTTCCATTATTTCTTTATCACTAGTTCTTCCACAAAATGATGAATAAATTCGGTATCTTCAAAACTTTCAGGAGATTCTGCATTTTCTTCCAGAAGGGTTTTTAGGTTATACACCTAAGAATTTATAGTATCCTTATTTTCAATTTCCTGAAGGGGACAATTAGCAGAAATTGCTGCTACATCTTGATAATCCGGTGTATTTTTATTAAAAAGTTCACGAGAAACATCGCTAGTAGAAGGTTGATTTTCTTCTTTCCAAATTTCTAGGAACACTAATAAATATTTTTGAAGATGAATGTGAATCATTATCACATTCTGGAACAAAACACTTTTTCGTAGTCATAATATTTATAAAAAGTACAAAATTAAACAATCAAATTCCAAATAAATTCTTGATGGAGACACTATGATGACAGATGCCATACACAGTGCTGCCATTTTGCCATTTTCTGAATTATTAAGAGACTTTTAAAACAATGAAACCTTAAATATGGTAAAAGTTTAAACAGAAATAATACTTTAAAAAAACATTTGATATTATATATTTAAAAGATATTTGTTTAACGATGTTTTAGAAGTCTAAAAGTAAGAAGGAGTACACAAACGAACGTACATCACTTCTCGTAAACCTTCTAGCCGGCAACGTTGTGCGCTAGCTCCTATTGGTCTATTCCCGGTGACGTCATAAATTTTAAAAAAATTCATAACTCCGGCAAATGAATAGATAAAAAAAAAAATAAAAAAAATGTAATTTTATTTTCAACTCTATTATTCATAAAAAAAATTTCAAAATTTTTGAACATGCCCCATTGTCATTAAATTCTTAATATTATTATTATTATTATTATTATTATTATTATTATTATTATTATTTTTTAGATGAAGCACTTAATTACAAATAATCTTTTATTCATTTATTGTGTTTCAAAATAAAATAAAATTTATGTATCTGATCTTTAAATGACTTTTATTCAAAATAAATGTTATGTCAGATATTTCAAATATTATGTTTCCGAGTAGGAAATTGCGAGATCTATCAAAATCAAGAAAAAAAATTGGGGTTACTATTTAAAAAAATTGTCAATGACGTCACTGCCCAAAAATGGGAAGTGGGGGAAAATTAAATTCTATTTAAAAATTGCGCTTTTAGTAAACATTGACCTGTCTGAGAATTTTTTCGAAAAACCACCTACTTCCATTATAATGAATTTATTCCTTTCATTTAAACCATACTGTATATGGGTGTCTCCAGTTGTAGTTTTAGTTGTTTCAGAAATGTGTAAAAGTTTGGATATACATTTTTCTCTAGGACAATAGTTGTAGTTTTAGTTGGCTTATTCAAACCGATTATGAAAATTGCAAATATTTACTGTTATTTTTGAATGAAATTCTCTGCATTTCGGAAATTTTAACATCTGTTTATTAAACCAAAAATATTTATTTTGATGTTGCCTACCACCCCTAAAAGATTGTCGGTTTATTTACGGGACACCCTATTTATTTTTATTCAACAAAGAAAAAATTAATTATTTTAAAATATATGATTTATATTTCAGTTTAAATTTATTTAATGACATTTGGAACTCAACAGGTTGTTCCTTATCATAAATGAAAATAAATACAAGTTTATTGGTTTTATAATTAATTAAAGGGATCCTAAGGTTCCATTTTTTCTTATGGTAATATTAAAAGTATGATTAACTTTAAAAAAGCTCTTGATTTATTCAAGGAACATCCTGTACCAAAATTACTATTATACCATGGAAGCAGCCATTCCGAATATCTCGATAATCATGTCCGTACGTGGGTAAATTTGAACGGCTATGTTTAGATTATATTTACGCTTGTTTTCTAGTTTTTTTTTCTTATTTGAAATCTTAATTAATAAAGGCTGGGAAGAAAAACATTGTAATATATTTTTGAACACCTTTTATGCTACTAAAGTAACAAATACAATTTTGAATACGTCTGCCTAAACTGTAAAGCTTTCTTTCCATTTTGAATCTACAAAAAACAACCGCATAATATGGCATCTTAGATTATTTAAAAATATTCTTGATTTTATACTTTCAGATTTGAAATTAAATCAAGAAAACAAAGATCATGTAACATTAGTTAATAAGAGTTAAAAAGTTATTAAAAGACATGGTTTTGTTAAATGAGCTGAATATTCAATTAAAGGAGTCTAGAGAAGAACTAGATGTAAGATTATTTGATAGATTTTATTCATTTTAGTGATAGTTAGCTTTAGCTGTAGGCTTTATAACGTTTTAATTATCTTGGGAATAAAATTATATGCTGTTAAATGACGAAACGGGAATATCAATTACATCTAATTTTCAAGGTTCATTGCTCGCAATTGAAAGAAAAGAGATGTGAAAAGGTATAAGTACTACTTTTTTGTTAATTTATACATATATCTTTTAATAAAGTAATTTTTTACTGCTTTTATTTTAAGATGCATTCACTATGCATGGATGTTTTAATAACAATTATTATTAAAAATAAATTTTGCTTCTTCTAATGCATTCTTTATTTATATTATATAGCTTGTTTCTATCTACTTTTTCTACCAGCCTCCAGGTTGTACTTTTGCAATATTCTATCTCCCTCTTTCCGATTTAATTTTTTTTTAATAATATATTCATCTTTTAATGTCAACAGTTATGTTAAAACTCTTAAATTATCTTTTTATGAAGTTTTCTACTTTACATATAGTCATTCATCCTTTTTCCTAATTTAAAAAAACACACATTGCAGGATACACGAGTATAAGTTCCTGCGCCTGATAGTCGCGTCAAATTAGCATGAAAAAAGTGAAAATTAACAATTTTTTGCGGAGAGGTCCAATTGAGATGCGGTTTTCTGCAAAATGTTCAGGAAACCGTCTATAACAAAAGGTATATCTAACCTCTGTACGCTCGCAAATTCTTAATTGTTTATTTAACAAATGAGGCATTTTTGTTAGAGTGTTGATGAATATGTGGCAAATGTCACATACGGTTCAACGAAAATGTCTGGAAAATGTTCTCTCGGGGAGTTTCGAGGTCCCTGTTTATCACTTTGGTGTCAGATTTATTTTTTATTGAGTTATTGCAAAAAAATCTGGGTTTCTAACGATTCCGGGAGTCGAGTTATTAATTTGTTAATTAGCGAGGTGGCAACAATCGAACAATAAACAATTATGTTTGCAAAATTCTTGTGCCGATGTTTCGCCTTAACAAGCCAGAAATGCTGGAAAAAATTCCGGTTCTCTAGTGATTTCGGGGGTTGAGTTTTTCATTTGTTAATTAGCCAAGTTACAACAATTTAGCAATAAATAATAAATCTGACACCAAAGTGATAAAGAGGGACCTCGAAACCCACCGAGAGAACATTTTCCAGACAGTTTCGTTGAACCGTGTGTGACATTTGCCACATATTCATCAACACTAACAAAAATGCCTCATTTGTTAAATAAACAATTAAGACTTTGCGAGCGTACAGCGGTTAGATATACCTTTTGTTATAGACGGTTTCCTGAACATTTTGCAGAAAACCGCATCTCAATCGAATCTCTTCGCAAAAAGTTGCGGATAAAATGCTAATTTGACGCGACTATGCCTAATATAGTAAGGATACATTACTTTTACTCTCGATTGGTAATACATTTTTTCGTGAAAAAGCATTACCCAGGTTATGTTTATTTACATATTAGGAAAAAGAATGAAGGAAGGTCGATTTAAGTAGGGATCTTGTACTAACAGTAATTCTTTCATTTTATGAGAAATATACAGAGTGTTCCGTGAATAAAGAGTTAAAACACAATTTTTACTACGCTTGATGTATTTTTATTACATTTCTATAACATGGGTCTTTGAATTTGTTGCCAATTTGAACTAGAGCTTCTAAATGAAAAAAATAATAATTTTGAATTTCCACATTAAGATTATTTTTAAAACGATATTAAATATCAGATATAAAAAGGTTTTTGAACTAGCCGAAATTAAAATTTTAATAAAATCAGTAAAATAATTTTTATGATCCATCTTTAAATGACACCACTGACATACGCGTACCAAAAAAGGTAAACATAAATATTGTATACAAACAATAAAGAAAATTCGTTTTATTATTTTTCAAGAAGAGATACGGAATCAAATAAAGTTGGCAGTAGTAAACTAGTAGTAGGCCTAAGTCTGAGCAGTCGTAGAATCTGCACATCTGCTAAAAAACGGACGTGGTTTAAATCCAAATGAGTCTGGAGGTTTGCGCGATTGTCAGTACGTAATTAAGTTTTAATTTACGTTTTTTTCAGCTGTGTCACGGATGGAGAAGCGCCCCGAAAACGGACCAAGAAGGCCAGGCATTTGTTCACCTTAAGAGATGACTGAATACTAACCTAATTATTTTTATAAATGGTAAATATATTAGAGAGTTATCACCACTTGCGAATAATATTTTCCTTTCTTGTTTACATTAATTTTTATTTCTCATCGATAGAAGGTTTAAACGGATTCACAGTCGACACTTCTCTGACCAATACAACATTATTTTCCGATGTAAATTTGAAGCAAGTTTTATTATTTGAAGGGTATCGGGAGAAAACCAGAAATGTCCATCCGAAAACTTTTAGAGTAAAGTGAATTTTAAACTTTGATACATGGTAATTTGACATTTTGAGATAATAAAAAAACCATAAAGGGTAATATTTATTGCTACATTTATTTAGAACATAAATTTGTCCAAATTACAAAACTTTGTTATGTAAATAATAGTAAAACTAATCCAACTTCCTTCGTTTATGGGCGAAAACCGGGAAGATCCATAAATTATTTTTATCTGCAACGAACGAAAGAAAGTAGGTATTAACATAAATCGACGATACAATATTTTTACGAATCAGATTCTTAGCTTGGTCTTGGTCCTTCTACTGCTCACCACGGGAATTTTTCTGGAATTGGGTATGTTTTTTAGCTGCAATAGAAAACAAAAAATTGGTCCTGGTTGGTCTCTTAAGCGATAATTGGTAACCGAGAAGTATAGCATGAATTCATAAAAAAAGATGTTTTAGCTTACCTACACCCCGCAAAGTTATTTTATTGGTGCTACTATTCTCTCGCTTAGATGGTACCGGTTGAGAAGTCTCTTCAGCTGTAACCCAAAAAACTAATTAGCATGATTTCATAAAAAAAATATATATGTAGCTTACCTGGGTAGTTTTGAAGAAGTATTCTCTTGCTTAGATGACCCAGGTTACTGGGTTTCTTGATTCTTCTTTTTAACCGACTTCAAAAAAGGAGGAGGTTATCAATTCGTCGCGATATTTTTTTTTTTATGTATGTTCAGCGATTATTCTTTAACACGGTGTCCGATTTCAATGATTCTTTTTTTGTTAGAAAGGGGGTATTTCAGGGGTGGTCCCATATAAATTTAGTCAAAATCTAATAATTGGGTCCATGAGAAAATCCTCAAACTCTTCATTTTTTATGTATGTCAGCGATAATTTTTTAACACGGTGTCCGATTTTAATGATTCTTTTTTTGTTAGAAAGGGGCTACTGTAGGGGTGGTCCCATATAAATTTTGTCAAAATCTAATAATTGGATCCATGAGAAAATCCTCAAACTCTTCATTTTTTATGTATGTTTAGCGATAATGCTTTACCACCTTGTCCGATTTATACGATTCTTTTTTTGTTAGTAAGGGGGTACCTCAGGGGTGGTCCCATATAAATTTGGTTAAGATGTGGCATCTGCACGTTTTTGAAGTCGGTTTTTTTAAATTTTTAATTTGTAATACTTGTTCTTAAACTTATCCATGCGGGGAATGTTTGTAAACAATTTATTTGCTTCTTAGTCGCAAAACTGATAAAAATATAATATCTTTGCATTTGTCACTATCTATAGGAATTAAATTGTCGTAATACTGTTGAGGCAATTCGAATTCAAAATAACCTTTGTCAGTGCTGTCATTCGACAACAAAGCTTTACATTGATTTGCGGACATAATAGGTGATTGAAGGCAACTGCCGTTGTAGGTGTCTCGGCGCGAAATCATACGAGAATGGTCCTGTGTGACTCGGAATTCTCATTTTGTTTAATTGGAAATGGGCACTTTACTGATATCACACTAAACGGTCCTGGTTTTACCCTAGATGTTATAAGGTTTTGCTCCCAGTCATTAGGACATTCCATTCTTACATTCGTGTTTATTAGTCCCTATGTTTTTGTGGCACTCTAAATAGGAATGCCCACGGATTGGATAGGTAACCTCAATAGACTTGAAATGTCTGATAACATTGAGTAAAACGTATAAAGGTGTAATTTTTATTTTGACCACCAGCTCCGTCACAGAAGATGTGCAAGTTTTCTACTTAATCAGTTACGCCATTCATACAAAAATCAAATAGAAATGAACATACTTCATCGGCACCTTTTTGGCGACATATTCAGGGTAATTGTAAAAGAAAGACAGCGTTCGACAGTATATGAATATTAAAAGAAAACATCGATAATTGTCTCTTATAACACACATCGTTAGTTGTAACATTTGGAAGGTAATTTTTTTTTTTTTTTTGATAATCCATAGCAACGCATTCGAATCTTTTTCCTTTCGAGATTTTTTTCGGGCATTTCTTTTCCTATCATAAAATGAGCTCTTCTTAAGTGCAGCTCGTTTTCTTTCTTTTTTTATTTCTTCAAGGTTATCATTGATTCTCTTTCCTGCTTTCATTAGTACAGTAAACTGATCACATTGACTACATGTATCGGTCCGAGGATAGCCAAATCCAATGTTGAACTTTTTCTTAAACACTTCATATGTTTAATAAGATATTTTCCGAGTAGCATTTTTCTCTAAGAACATTCTGTACATTTTTTTATGTTCAGATCTTCCGGCAAATAAGATCTGTTCTTATTATCCTTTAAACTATAGTGACTGTCTAGTTTGAAAAGATGCAATATGTGATTTAATACAGTCCAAAGTAGTAGTTGTTAAACTTTTATAATTTTTTCCACCACGTTTGTCTTTTGGTGCAACATCCAACTTCTATAAAGATACTCTAATTTACTTTTAGATATACCATGTACAGTAATAAAGAACTTGGCATACACCTGGACTTCATCAAAATGATTGTCTTGTTTTATTCTCACCCGATACATGTAACTGCAGTCGAGCTACTTTGCTAAATTTTCTGGAGCTCTTGGCCTACGCCTCTGTACAGTTGTAACCGATATCAATGGGCATAAATAGGAATTTTGTTCGTTGTGGGAACTCAGACTGTTGAAATTATTTAAAATAGCCCTTCTACTGTTTGAACTAACTTTCTCCATGCACTTGAGTCTCTTACAATTACAAAATACTCTGAACTCATGCGACTGTAATTGGATATTTTTTTAATACCTCGTACAGTCTACTAAACTTTGTGTCACCTATTTTAAAATAAACACAGCACAATCTATCGTATTGAGTTCAGTTCGACGACTGACATTCGCATAAAACAAAAGAATAAAAATTAACTAAGATGATGGACTTTCCCTGTTTATTACGGCTTAGCACGGACATTCCCTTTTTTCTTCGTTTACGGCATTTCTAAATACTTTAATATATTGGAACTATCCCTGTTTTCTGCAGAACTGTTTAGGCCAGGTAATAATATGTACCTTTTGATACCATATGACAGGGTAATCTCTATTTGCCAAAAAAATGGACATTCCTGGTTTTCTCCCGATACCATTAATTTAAATTCATACTTTTTAAATTTTAAAACTTTGGCGATAACTCTCTCTATATTGTTAAAATACTTGCTCTATTTTTGACAAAAGTAGTAAAAATATCAGAATTTGACTTCAGATTTAATACTGGGTATGAAAAAAGTATCGCAATGTACATGTGTATGTTTAATTATTTGTTTTTAAAAAATGTGTTGTTAAGTTACAATTTTTATTTACCCGTATTAGGCTTTATTCTCTGCAATTAGATCTAAATGCCCATGGTTTTTATTTGTAAAGTTTGTTATAGCGCAAAAGGGAATCATTTCAAAATTGAATATTGCCTTTTAATTTCGAAACTATAGTTTTTTGTTTTGTCTGTATTAGAGCAAAGTATATTTATGTGCACAAATGTGATATTTTAATTTGTAAGTATACGTAGTTTTTAGTTTTTAATTTATATTTTGATTTTATTTAATTGACTCAATATAATTCTAACATTTTAATAATAGTCAAGATTTTTCTTTATTATATATTTTTTTAATATGAAATAATTAGATTTCCTGAAAATAGTTTTACAATAAATATTTGAAAAGTTGTTTAACCTACAACTGAAACACTGGAAACCTTGGCCAATTAGTGGGTGGAAGTCTAATGTTCCTTTTATCCCTATTATTTTTAAGTTCATTTTCAAGTCCTATATTAAAATAACAAATAATGAAATAATTGTTCAATTTGAAAAAACGAAGTGTTAAATGTTTACAGATTGGCAAGTTTATGCTCCCGGATAAAATCGCCTGTAAGTTACCCTTATTTCTGTAGCCAATAACATTTTTTTTTTTTAATATTTTTCCACACTTTTTTGCAATAAATTGAATTAAAAAAAATTCTTGGTATTACAACGTAACAATTCACGTTGAAATCAATGGATAAACAACTACAGGGTGAGTCATTTAAAAACATAGACAAATGCCCTGTATATTTCATAGGATTTTAGAAATATGCAAGAAAGTATCCTCTATAACTTTTATTTTCAAGCATTTTCTGATGTTTCTTTTGATAGAAGAGATATTGACGACTAGCTTGTACTAATTGGCCACCGTCTGTAAATAGGTAATTAATAATATTTTCCACCATTTCAAATGGTTCATTCTAAATAATTTATTGTAAATTAAGTTGATTTTTGTTAGGAACTGTTTAATCAACATAACTGTGATATTAAAAAAATGTAAATAAAATAACTACTTTATTATTAATTTGCGTTTTATTCATTGTGACCGTAAAAAATGTATAGTGCCACCCGTATATACAGGGTGTTCTCGTATGGACTGAAATGGATGTATTAAAAGACTGGCATGGAGTAAAAAAAGCAAAACGAGGTACTTTTCAAATGTACCACATGTAAAAAACCCTATTTGTCATACATGATTGGAAAGCCAGTAAAAATGCTTTTTAACGAATATAAGTTATACCATATACAGGATGGTTCAATAATAGATAATAATTAAAACCTATTTAAAGAAAAGATAACCATCTTTATCTGAATTAAATATTTCTAAACCAGAAGTACAAAAAAATAATTTTGTTAGTAAATATACAGGGTGTTCCATCTCAGACGAGCCACTCCGTATATTTCTTATCCCATAGTAATTGGAAAAATTTCCCGGATGATTTTCTTTGGGG